GTTAGTGATATTTGCGAAAATATTTCATTGCTACTTGAGATAAGTGGATAAACACAAATAAGTTGTGTTCTACTGTACATCATCTCGTACATATGGCTGATCAAACCACCACGGCCTTGTTAGGTTGATATCACAGATAGCTTATGAGAAACTCTACAATGCGCTTTGTTTGGGCTACATATTCAGGAATTATCGTGACAGTGGATTCCTGAAAAACAGCTATGGTTGTGGATTCTGGAGAATTAGAAGCAGACTTTTGGTTTACCGATATTGGTCAGTTGTTGGGACCATGAGGGTTGGGAAATGTTTACAACACTCCTGGCTTCAATGATGACTTTGATGTTTATATGTTGATGAAGCGTAAATTAGCTGTTTTTGTCTGCTTTAAACTAATATAGCACAAACATACACTAATTAAGCGCAACTTAACTAATTGTCCCATTTAGTTTTGAACTGCTCTTGCTGTAATGTCTCGGTGTCTTCTAAAAAAAATACTAACAGCTATACGTTCTTGTGTACCTTGATGTGTCTGAAAATAGTTTATGTGGGCGCACAGAAAACGAATCATGCCTGGCCACAATCAGTGAGCTTTATTGCAATGAAGATACAACATAATGATGAATATATAGGTGCGTACGCGTACAGTACATGATAATCATGGCTAACACACCCGGCAGCATGAACCATGAGTCCATGACGATGCATGCATGCCGAGCACACTAGCCTATATTACATGCATGATGGAGCGTGATCGTCCTAGCCGATGTTGGGGACCCTGGCGAGGTCGCCGCGGGTGTTGACGAAGACGCGGACGCGCTTGTCGTTGAAGTCGCCGGTGACGTTGTTGCCGACGGGCACGATGAACACGCGCACGTCCGGGCGGTCACTGAGGATCTTCTGCTTCGCCACCTCGGACGGCGCCCCCAGCAGCTCCGGCCACGACGACTTGGCGTCACCCATCTCCGCGGAAACTGAAGACCTGGAGATCAATGGAAGCATAAATGAGAAATTGCATGGAGATAGAAGAACACATATGTATGGGACATGCGTTTGCTGCAAGCTAGTGCTCACCTCTGTATGTGTCTGAAGCTGGAGCCTGTGGGGTGGTTTGCTTGCTGGTGCTACTCCTTGTGGTTTCTGGATTAGATTGAGGAGATGGTCTGTATTTATAGCACGCAGAGATGCATGGGAACTTGCACGGATCGGGCATCTTTAGCAGCGCGAAGCTTCAACATTGGAGGCTATAATTTTCCAGCTTTGACTGTGCGAGCGAGAGGGACGCTTGCTTGCTCCGGGGTCCGGCCTAGCTAGTTCTTCTTCTGCTTCTTCGTGTGGTTGTGGAGGGACACAGCCGTCTTGGACTGGGTATTTCTATACGCGTTCTGACGTACATTAGTACATGCACGATGTACGGCCGGCTTGGTCGTTGTAGTTCGTCAGGCACCGATATAATCAACGATTTGTGCGCCTGCGGATACTTGTCCGCATGTAAGTAGTAGCCGAGGATTTGCTGAGTTATCTTCTACGTGCCTTCAAGAGGAAGACAATGCGGAGCACATACGCATCCAATGCTCCTACGCTAGACAAGTGTGGCACAAATGCATCATTGGCCTGAACTTGGAGGTGGCTCACCCACAAGGACAAGATAACCTGATGGACTGGTGGCTACTCGCAAGACAGAGTTTCACTCGGGCTGACAAGAGAGCCTTCGACAAGGTTGTAACTGCAGTGCCTTGGTCGCTCTGGAAGCAAAGAAACGCTAGGGTGTTCAACCGGTTAAACCAACAGAAAACGGTGGACGAGCTCCATAACCATATCATGTCTGAAATCAAAGAATGGAAAGATGCCGGGTTAGGTGCTGGGGCGTTAGATAGGTTTGTGAGAGAATAGGCTTTGTATTAGGAGTGGGTGTGGGTGGTTTTTTCCTTTCTTTGCGTGATGTTCGCATCACACTCAACTTCTTGTACATATCTCTGCCTTCTATAAAAATATGTTACGCCATTGGCGTACTCTCGAAAAAAATAGGTGCGGCCTGGTCACTTTGGGCCTGTTTGATAGCGTGAACCAATATTTGCCTCTTCGTATGTGTGGCTCACTTTGGATAAGCTGAACAATAAATGCAGGCTGAAAACCATATTGTGCACATAGTTTGGTAGCATGCGTTGCATCAGGGAGTAGTTTATGCATGTTGTTTGGTAGTCTGTATTTGTGTTGGATGAGCAGGTGCAAACCACAGTTGTTTCGTTGTGTGCATTATGCTGTTCTGTTCATCCCTTTCAAATATGATGAACTTACCACTCAGATGTAGCACACACTTCATAGCAAGGCATCACATATCCAGTAGGAACACAATTAACACCGCTCCTACACAATTACCACACAATTAAACGGTGCACACTACCACACAATTGACACTACATCAATTTTAAGATAACCGGGGCACACAATCTAGGGTGCGGATCCGTGGGCAAAATTTACAGTTCACCAGCAAAAGAGAGAACAGTTCGTACAATTAAGAGCTCAAACAATAGGATTCAGAGCGCACGAGTCAGGTCACCATGACAGCAGTGCTTGGTATGTCCATAATTTTTTCTCGGGGTCTGGCGGGGCTATTGTGGGTGGCTCTGGGTGAAAGTCTTCAACGGGAGTCGATGCTAGCAGCGACGATGACCAAGTTGTTCTTTTCCTTCTTGAAGGCGTCTCTAAAGGGCTCGCCCACTCATCTCCCAATTGTGGGGGCAGTGGAGTTCGAATTCGCCGGTGTTGGTATTGTTTTCTTCTCTCTTTTGTTGTTTGGGTTTGTGCATGGTTATCCTTAATCAATTGTGTGGTTTTTAGCCTAGTTCTTTTCATAAACCAGGCCATTCATATTTTTGTTTTCTCTTTTAAAGAAATTAGAAGTGTTCCTGCCTTGGGCGTCAAAGATATATTCTTATATCCATGTTCATGAAATGTTTGCAGTTGTACTCCTTTGTTCACAAATATAAAGTGAGTGACCAAACACAGTAAAACATGTCTATATACATTCAATTTCGAAAAAGTTAGAACATCTTATATTTGTGAATGAATGGAGTATAATTTTATGCACATAAGCCATGTTTTTGTGGTATTTAGAGGCAAGCAAAGAATAGTAGACTATTTTTTGGAAGTTTTTTTTTAAAGTTCAGAATAGTAGACTATGATAAGGTATCTTTGGTTGACAATGTGATGCTTTAACGTGTGAGCCTTGGCCACCTTTACCTGGTATAGCCAAGGATTCTCCCGCACAAAAACTTAAAACAAAGCACCACTGTAGCCAATGATTGACAGTACTTTACATCTAGTCCCTCCGTCCCATAATGTAAGACGTTTTTCTACTCTAGTGTAGTGTCAAAAAACATCTTACATTATGGGACGGAGGGAGTACATTTTTAAATTAAACTCGTGTTTGCTTCAGAATACAAAATTAAGCTCTCCTGGAGTGGCTGCGACACAGCAACAGCCTTTTGGCTTCAGTTAGGATCAAACACAAATTTTGTGGATTCTGAACCACGAGAACTCTTTATTTACTATGTATCAGTAATAGGAATCGGTATTTATCAATATTTTGTTCTCTCCCTATCCATTGACAGGGTAGAGGGCTAGAGGCATACTCCATAACTCCAATGTTATTAAACTAAGGGAGTAAGCAGGGTCTACTGCATTGTAGAGAGTTACTGGTATTTGTGAGTGCATGTAGAGAGTTACTGATATTTGTAGTATATTACAGTTCGTCTAGGAGAGCTTAATTGGATCTAGACATTTGTTTGAGATATCTGGTTGGTATTCAGTGTCTACGTGGTTTGTCTTGACCTTTATTTCATGAATGGGACATGTATTATCATGTAAAAAAGAAAGAGGTTGATATCACAGATAGCTGAGAAACTTTACAATCCGCTGGGCTACATATTCCCGAGAATTAATGTCTGTAACGCCTCATAAATGATGAGTTTGATGTTTATATGTTGATTAAGCATAAATTAATTATCTATTTTTGTCTGCTTTAAACTGAAATGACACAAATGTACACTGATTAAGCGCAAATTAATCAATTGTCCTATTTTTAAAAAACTGCTCTTACTGTAATGTCTCCATGTCTTCTCAAAGAAACTAACAGCTATACGTTCTTGTGTACTCTAGCATGTGTCCGACTTGGTGGCAAACTGGCAACCGAGAATAGTTTTTCCGTGGGCGCACACATAATGAACCAAGTCTGACCACAATCAGTGAGCTTTATTGCAATGGAGATACAATATAATGTTGAATAGTACATAGGTGCGTACGCGTACAATACATAATAATCTTGGCTAACATGAACCATGACGATGCATGCATGCCGATCACACTAGCATATATTACATGCATGATGGAGCGTGATCGTCCTAGCCGATGTTGGGGACCCTGGCGACGTCGCCGCGGGTGCTGACGAAGACGCGGACGCGCTTGTCGTCGAAGTCGGTGGTGACGACGGAGCCGACGGGAGCCACGAACACGCGCACCTCGGACGGCGCCCCCAGCACCTCTGGCCATGACGACTTGGCGTCACCCATCTCCGCGGAAATCTGGAAATCTGCAGCAAGAACAACAACAATGAACACAGTTGTCGGCGGAGATCGAACAAGGGTATGTACACGTTTGCTTCAAGTTCTCACCCCTGTATGTATCTGGAGCTGGAAGCTGTGGACTGTGGTGTGGTTTGCTTGCTGGTGCTGCTTGTGGTTTCTGGATTGGAAGGAGGAGATGGTCCGTATATATAGCACGTAGAGATGCATGGGAACCTGCACGGATCGGGGATCTTTTGACTGTGCGAAGCTTCAATATTCGAGGCTTTAATTTTCCAACTTCGACTGTGCGTGGGACACATGCTTGCTCAGGCTTCCTCTATCTTCTTCTGCATGTGGTTTTGGTGGGACACAGCCGTCTTGGACCGGGTCTTTCTAGCTGTGCGCGTTCTGACAGTACATCCATAATGCACGGCCGGCTTGCTGATTGTAGTTCGTCAGGCACCGGTAATAATCAACGATTTGTACGCCTGCCGATACTTGTCCGCAGGTACCAGTGGCCAAGGATTTGCTGCACCTGCTACTGTGGGGTGGCTGGGTGGTGGCCAAGCTGGGCTGCAGGTGTCATCGGCCGATGCTGCGGCGTACATGTTTTGAAACCTTGGGGCGAAAATAGTGCTTTTGCTTCGGCTCGGTCGGAGCCGGCAATGGCAATGCCCTTGTCGCCACTAGCTAGCCATTTTGGAGACGTCGTTGTCAGGTTACCTATGTCCTCCTTCCGAAACTCCGGGGGAAAACGCTTCCTCCAAGGGTGTGTTTGGTAGGTGCATGGAGTATGCACGAGGGCAAAAATTCGCAATCCGACCCACTTTTCTTTGTTCAGTAGTGTGCATGCATGGTTCATCCGGATTATGCCCGTCTGATGCAAAAAAGGGCATTCAGCCATGCCCATCTCATGCACCCCAGAGAGGGTGCATGGAGGCAGCCATGCTCGTCTTGACCCTCGTCCCCACCCACAAAACCACGTTCATATATGTTTAAATTTTGAAAAAAGCTAATAATATTAAATTTTGTTTAAATTTTAAAAAAATGTTTAGGATTTCATTTTCCTTAAATTTTCAATAAATGTTTAGAATTTCATTTTTTTATTTTTTTTCAAAAATGTTCGGAATTTCAGTTTTCTTTACATTTTCATAAAAGTTTAGGATTTAAAAAAACAAAAAATGCTGAGACAAGTTTTGTTTAAATTTTCATAAAATGTACAAGAATTTTTAAAAAAATAAAACAATTCAAATTTTCAAAATATGTTTAAATTTTCCAAAAAAGTTCAAATTTCAAAATATGTTTAAATTTTCAAAAAATATTCAGAATTTCATACTTTTATTTAAATTATCAAAAAATATTCATAGTTCCAAATTTTGTTTAAATTTTTAATAAAAC